GCTGGAGAATCTCTGTCTCACCAGATGTTGGGAGGTAAAAATGTTGTTAACATTAGTTTTTTTTTCTGTTTGTTTTATTGATCACCATCAAGCAAACAGTAGCACAATTACATCCCAGGATATTTATTAGTGTAACTAGCTGTGCCCTGCCATGTGTTGTTGTGGCCTATAGTAAGAATTTTCGAAGTAGAGGTAGATATCTGAACTATTATGAAAGAGAGGTACCTACCTACCTATTCCTTTCCCCTTTTTCTTCCCCTTCCCCTTTCTCTCCTTTCTTCCTTCTCTACCTCTTTCTTTCATTCCTTCTTTCGCTCTTTGGTTTCATCCTTCCTTCTCTCTTTCCTTCCTTCCCTCCCCTTCTCTACTTCTTTGTCTCCTTTCTTCCCTCCCTGTTTCCTTCCTTCTTTCCCTTTTTATTTCCTTTTTTCCTTCCTTCCTTCTTTATCTCTTACCTGCCTTTCCTTTCCTTTTCCTTTCCTATTTTCTCTTTTTCCTTCTTTTGATAACTCTTTCCTTCCTTCCTTCTCTCATTCCTTCCCTCCTTCCTTCCTGTCTGTTCTCCCCCAATAACATGGTAGAGTCCCTTCTAACTCTATTCTATGAGTCTATTTAATGTAGTAATATATAGTAGCAACATTATATTATATAGTAGTATATATAAAATTATATATATATAATAGTAATATATGAAGTATTGTTATATGTGTGTGTGTGTGTGTGTGTGTATCACGAACCAGTGATCCAACCTCCATCCATATATGTGTGTGTGTGTGCATGCGCGCGTGCGCATGTGTGCATGTGTCTACACTGCCATATAATCCATTCCTAAGTAGATAATCTGGATTTTACATGGCAGTGTGGAAGGGTTGACTTTGGGTGCATCTACACTGTAGATTTAATAAAGGAGAATGAAGCTGGTGAGGGGAGGAGAAAATCTATTTTCCGTCGTTTTGAAAGTGGTTTTTGGCATATGTAAGCATGAGTCCCCTTTCAGGGGGAGAAGGGCAGGGTATAAATACAGGAAATAAATCTATATAAATAAAAATGTAATGTTCGTTTGTGGGATTAACAGAACTCAAAAACCACTGGATACCTAACAACCCAATGTATGTCCTTCACTCAAAAAAATTGATTTTGTCATTTGGGAGTTGTAGTTGCTGGGATTTATAGTTCACCTACAATCAAAGAGCATTCTGAACCCCACCAACGATGGAATTGAACCAAACTTGGCACACAATTCTCCAATGACCAACAGAAAATAGTGGAAGGGTTTGGTGGCCATTGACCTTGAGTTTGGGAGTTGTAGTTCACCTACATCCAGAGAGATCACTGTGGACTCAAACAATGTTGGATCTGGACCAAACTTGGCACGAATATTCCATATGCCCAAATGTGAACACTGGTGGAGTATGGGGGAAATATAATCTTGACATTTTGGAGTTGTAGTTGCTGGGATTTGTAGTTCACCTACAATCACAGAGCATTCTGAACCCCATCAACGATAGAATTGGGCCAAATCTTTTCAGAGCTGCGTCCATCGCTTGTTCTCGGCTGGGAATGGAGCAGGAGGCGCCTCGTGGCTGCGGAGTGCAGAGAGCGCAGCAGAAGATCCCTGATGGCGAAGAGGGGGTGTGTGCACTCTTGGCGGCGGAGGCGGCGCTGGGTGGGCATGGCCAGGCAACGCTGGCTTCCCGGGAGGCTTCTCCCTCCCACACGGGAAGAAAGAAGGAAAGGAAGGGAAGGAAGGAGGGATGGAAAGGGGGAAGGGTGGGAAGGAAGGAAGGGGAAGGGGAGAGAAAGGGAGGGGAAGGAAGGAAGGAAGGAAGGAAGGAAGGAAGGAAGGAAGGAAGGAAGGAAGGAAGGAGAAGCCTGGCCCGGCACGACCCCAGCCGAAGCTGCTCCGGGGGGAGAGAGAGAAACGCCGCTGAAGGAAGCGGCGAGGGGCTTTGCATGAGGCCTGGCCAGGCCGCGCGGGCCACATCTGGCCGTGGTGAGGGAGGGAGCTGGGTGCCGCCCACTGTGCTAGTTCTATTTGTATGGCTGTGCGTGCGCACGCGCTTGGCTCTCAGTGCTGTAATGGCTGCTCTTCCCTTGTGTGGATTTTTGGGGTTTCTGCTGTTTCTTTGGGGGTTTTTTTGAGTGGAGGACATAAATTGGACTGTTAGGTGTCTTGTGTCCAAATTTGGTTTCAATTCCTCCAGTGGTTTTCGAATTCTAATGGTAGCACAAATGAACATTACATTTTTATTTTTATAGATGATTGATGAATATGATCATTCCTTTGCTATTTAATTGGTAAATACACACATGAGCAACTACTACTGCTTAAATTGATGGAATGATCACCTTTAATATAGTTGCATGACAATTCATTGTTAAGCTGAATATTTAGTAGAAGTCCTCAGTGATTAGTTGATGCTTTCTCAATGAGAGTTAATGGGGAGAGACATTTTCCTCAGTGGGCAATTAATTTGCAGGAGTGGGGTTTTCAGGGTGCTTTGTGAAAAGAGGGAACGGTAGTTTTGCACACACACCCTAGAAATACCAGATCCTATCTGATCTTGGAAGTTAAGCAGAAGTAGCTCCGCTTAATACTTAAATATGAGACCACCAATGAATACCAGGTGTTGTAGGCTATATTTCAGAAAAAGAGGCAGACAAAACCAGCTTTAGAAATTTCTTGCTCATTAGTTAAGGGGTTTTATTTTTTCATGTCAGGAGTGGCTTGAGAAACTGCAAATCGCTTCTGGTGTGAGAGAACTGGCCATCTGTAGGGACATTTCCCAGGGGACGCCCAGATGTTTTGATGTTTTACTATCCTTGTGGGAGGCTTCTCTCATGTCCCTGCATTGGGAGGTGGAGCTGACAGAGAGACTTCATCGGTGCTCTCCCTGGATTCAAACCTCTGATCGGATGGTCTTCAGTCCTGCTGGCACAAGGGTTTAACCCGTCGCACCACCAGATAACTTGAAGGCACACACACACACAAGAGAGAGTTATGGTTTATTCTGACAAGAAATTGACTTGGATATCTGTGCAGTTCCTCTGGAGAACCCCAAATAGTATTAATAGTTCCACTGCCTCCTGTAGAATTCTGTTTACTTCCAATGTATATTTACCTGACAGCAAATCTCTTGTGATCCTTCTTTAAGAGGAAAGTAAACCTTATAGTTTTACCTTGGACTTCTCACTACTCAGTCAGAGCAGAGGAAATAACACAGAGGAATGTAAGCTGTGTTCTTTAGTTGGAGAAAAATGTGAGCTAAAGATGGAGCATTTTCAGAACAAATTATATTAGCCACAAATGGTGGTATAGGGGGAAAAAAACATGAAGTCATGAGGACATATTTGAACAGCAGCTAAAAGGTGGCAGAATCAAGGTGGGAGTCCAGCTCTTCCTGGGCCACCATGTTGGTAAAACATCTGACAAGCCTGGATTGTAGAACACTATAATCAATGAGAGAGAACCAAGATATTTTGTTCATACAGAAAGCTACCAGCAGAGCTGACACTATCATTAGGCAGAGTGTGATGAGTACCTCAGAAGAAAAGATGCCAAGAACAATCTGGCTGGAAGAGGAGGCACTAAGAATTTTCATGAAACCCACAATCTGTTTTCTGATGTAGCTCCTTCATTTTACACCATAGTAGGACCAGTCCCTACTGTGGGAAAATGCAATTGTTGGGAAAAGGCAATTGTTACAATTTAGATAGAAACAGTGGCAGAGAGTTTGAAAATTAGCTGGATTAGAACTAAATGTCCTTGGAGTCTATGGAGTTCCACTCTTTTTTGGTTGGACTAGTTTTCTGTTCCTGCAGAGCAATATTACGTCAACAAGGAAGATTTATTTGTACATTGGTTAATAAAACAAATGTTAAAAGTTCCCCCATGCCTCTAGTACTTTCTTATCCAAAAGAAATTAAATTCTGTAGAATTTCCTCTGGACTTTTCATCACATTGGGAAACTAGGAGAGCTTTTGATGATATTCATAAGTCTGTTCCTAACAAGTACAAGTGTGGGTTTTTTTCCAAATTGTGAATTAATAAAAATGTGGCACGTGCATACGAGACAAAGGGAAAATCACTTGGGAAAATGCATGAGTTATTCTCTTGCATTTTTGATACAGAGCAATAAGGCTTCACAGGTAAGACAGAAAAAAAATAGAAAATTGAACTCAGCATGCAATGTGGAATGAGAGTGATGCCTGACATCCAAGTGGTTAATCAAGTCAATATGATGCTATTCACAGAGATGTTTCCTTGGTAATCCAGAGCTCTGCTTGACATTTGTCCAATTTGAAGTGCTAGAAGAAGGGATGCTTTTATTGAGAGTCTGCCAAAGAGATAAGTCATATTCAGGACACAAACTTTCCTTTATTGAACAAAATTAATTTCTAAAAATAATCCTCTGATATAGGTAAGAGATTGGAACATTTAGCCCTTTCTATCCCTAATATCCCCAATAATCAGTCCAAAAGCTCAGTATTATCACAAGCAGTAGAATATTTCACAAATGTTTTCAGTTTTGAATATATTGCAGAAGAAGAAAGTTCTAATCAACAAGAAGGAATATCTTTAGCCGGACTACATAACTATTTTATAGTAGGGAGATAACAGATTCTCAAAGTAATCAAATTCCCCTTTTCCAGAAACAGCATTATTATTTCTCTTCTCTCCACCTAGGAAATGCCATCCCTACAATTTCAAGCTGATCCCCATGATCTCAGGTATCCCTGATTTATAGCAACCCTGCCTTGACTGGGTCATAAATCAGAAACCACTTGAAGGCATACAGCAACAACTTCTTAAAAACTAAACCCAAACAAAAAATAAAGAAAAAACTAAAGCATTTTTCTGGTTGTTGCTGAGGTGTTGCTTAGAAATGAAAAATGAAGCCTGCCTTTGTCTTTAAATCAGCTTATGTTTATTGTATTGGCCATCATAACTTTTAGAATTATATGTTCAAAAGATTGTGAGATTCTTTTTTAATTCACAGGGGATTCGTGTGATTCCAGTCCTTGCGAAAATGGAGGCATCTGTTTGTCAGGATTGGATGATGACTTCTATTCTTGTGAATGTCCTGATGGCTTCTCAGATCCCAATTGTTCTAGTGTTGTGGAGGTTGGTAAGTGCAAACAAAAACAACAAAAGTAATCATTGTTTGTACACATAACTCATTTCTGAATAAGCAGAAATTATACTAATCTTTTTTAAATGTTTCATTTAGTATCTTGTTCTTTTCTAGTGCTTTAGCTTTAATCTTTATACTTTAAACTCATTTTTTTCATCAGAGCTTAAAAGCAGCTATTAATAAATATCACAATTAGATCTATTAGGCAATAAAGTTATAATTTCAATTTAATAAGGGGCAACTTCAGTCTTCTCTAGTGCAATTTTCACTTACTAGTTCCTTTTAAAGTTATGAGTGTGTGGCCTCAATAAACATAGATGAGGCATATCATTCCAAGACGTAGCATACTTTCCAACATTTCACAGATAAGAAGCAAAACAAGTGTGACACACCATGTTATCTCACCAGGGCTTTAAAGCGGATGTCCCCACATTTCTGCCACCTCAAAATTATGGAGAATATAGCTTACATTTTAATGACCAGTAGTTAAGAATTTAAAATGCACCATCCTAAACTACATTTCCCAGAATTTTGCAGGTGGCAGAAATGTGGGCCTGCCCACTTTAAAGCCCTGGTGTGATAACATCACAAGTAATGTAAGAGTGCAGTTGGAATGCAATATTTTTCATGAGGAAGACCCCACAATTTAGGTGATGCTGCAGCATTTTGCTTTTGACTGAGTACTAAGGAAAAATATTTCAGTGGTCTTTTCCTTCTGTGTTAAATGAGTGCACCCTATTTTTACAGTTTGAATTCAGTTTGCAGAAATCGAAGTAAGTTGAGAATAAAAGGGAATATTTAAGGAGGAGACCCAAAAAAGGTGTAATTACATATACATCATGAAATTAGAAGAATGGGATTTTAGTCAAAATGTTCCATTTGTATTAATGTTACTCGTGGGTATATGTTAATGTTAAGATATTTGTCTATATTTAGTGGAAGTTGATAGTATTAGTAGAAGTATGTTAGAAAATGTTAATATCTATGTTGGCTTGTGTGGGGAGAGGTCAGTTTGTTTTTAATAATTTTATGAATTTAAAAAATATTTTAAAGGAAGGCGATATAAGGATAAAGGATTTAGGGAGAGGGACAATTAAGTGATTGGAAATGTTCCTTCAAAATGATATTTTGGTTAGATTTAGATTTGCTGAGTCTTAAGGGGTTGTGCAAGGGTTCAAAACCCCTTAAGATTGTCTGCCACAGGATACTCATGGGTCTGGATAGATTTCTGGTAGTTATTGGTAGTTTCTTGGCAAATGATCTCAGTGAAGCTCTGGTTGATTTTCCTTCTTTAACTTTTACTATATGAGATGACTATAGGTCAGTCTTCCAATTTCCATTTTTGGACAGGAGAAGGAGAGAGTGTCCCTTCGAGATCTCAGTGGCTTTTGATACTATCAAGCATGGTATCCTTCTGAAGTCATCCATGAGGTACTCCACAGGCCAATGGCCAAGAAATCAAACAGAAATCCACTATCACCAGTTTCTATTGCCCATTTCACACTGCCCCTCTATTCCAGGGTATGATCCCAGATTATCTGCTTATCCCATATTATCTGACAGTGGAGACTCATGTAATTCAGTTTAAAACAGATAATTTGGACCAGAGGAGGTGACACTAAGGGCCCTTCTACAAATGCCTAAAAATCTGGAAGAAACCAGGATAAAAGGGGTAGGTGGGCAGCTAAATGTCATTTCAGGAAAATTTGAGCAAAAAAGTATGTATTTAAAAAGTGTGCTTAAAACCTGATTCTGGGCCAAAATAAAGTGCACTTTGGCATGATTGTATATCCCTGTAGTAATGGAAAACATAGGACTTCCTATCCACTAGTGTGGACTGCTCCAGTGCACGTGAGCATTTTAAAATCCCAAAACAGCTGATTGGGCTGCCAAAAAAAAAATGGAGCCATGATCACACAGGTGGCTCAATTTTAAGCACAGCTGGAAAGCAATTAGAACTCTCTGTATGCATGCTTTTGTTCTGATCATTATAATATTAAGCAGAGCTTGAATTTACAATTGAGTGAGGAGAGAGAATATGAAATGTGCTTATGTGTACAGTTAGAACTCTGCATGATTGCATATAAGGTCCACCACGTCTCGGAGAGTCAATTTCTTTTCAAAAAAAATTATGCCACATGTCCCCCATCCATCTTGTGTATTTGTAAAATCCACTTCAAAGAAAGGTGCAAGCATGGTGGGGGATCGTTTTCTGTCAAATCCTGGGATTTGTAAATCCACTTTTTGAACCTGCATTTTGACACTGGCTGGAAGTGCACTAAGAACAGTATCTCCAAACTGTGCCCATTCCCAGTCTAATTTGGTGGGAACAAGGGAGAGGACTTTCTTTGTGGCTGCTCTATGACTTTGGAATTCCCTCTCCAGAAAGGCCAGTATAGCCCCATCCTTGCTGTCATTCCGTGGCTCATACAAACATTTTTGTGCCATCTTGTTTACTAAGGTAGGGCTGCGTGGTGTTCTTTGTAAGCCTTTTAAAAAGTTTGTATTCAGTTGCATTGTATTATTTTTAATATTTAACATTTTAATGTATGTATTGTTTACTTGTTTTCAACTCTCATATTTATACTTTTATTTAGACTTGCGTATTGTTTTAAATATGTTAACCTCCTTGAGTCTTATTCTTGGCAGAAAGACAGGAATATAAATGATTATGGTAATTAGGAGGATAACTTACTCAACATTTCAAAATAAAGATATATAAAGAAATCTTATAGTAGCTTTGATACTAATAAAGCTGAAATGTCTAGCTTAAACTTTTGTAGTCTAAAGTCGAGTTTATCTGAAGGAGTGGAGACTACAAAAGTTCAAGTGGTTCAAATGCTGGGTCATACTACTGCAAAATTATTTGTTGTGGATGTTCAGAAAAATATTACATGGCTGTAAGAAGAGTAAGGTTTTTATTACAGGCTAGAAGCTTCTAGTTGTTTTTAAGTGGATTGTTGTTTAGTACTTTTTAACAATTGTACTATCAATTGTTTTAAATCTATTGTTTCATTGTATTTTAATAGTTTATCATATAAGCTCATTTAGGTCTTATATAAGAGAAAAGAAATAACAAATTGTGGCAAGTTCTTGGTGGGATGGGCATCCCAAGCCACCTTGTCTCTCTCCTGAGGAATCTGTACAAGGACCAAGTAGCAACAGTCAGAACTGACCACGGAACAACAGACTGGTTCAAGATTGGGAAAGGCGTACGGCAAGGCTGCATACTCTCACCCAAACTTTTTAACTTGTATGCAGAACACATCATGCGATGTGCGGGGCTTGATGAATGCAAAGCTGGGGTGAAAATTGCTGGAAGAAACATTAACAACCTCAGATATGCAGATGACACCACTCTGATGGCCGAAAGCGAGGAGGAGCTGAGGAGCCTTCTAATCAAGGTGAAAGAAGAAAGCGCAAAAGCCGGGTTGCAGCTAAACATCAAAAAAACCAAGATTATGGCAACATGAATGATTGACAACTGGAAAATAGAGGGAGAAAATGTGGAGGCCGTGACAGACTTTGTATTTCTAGGTGCAAAGATTACTGCAGATGCAGACTGTGGCCAGGAAATCAGAAGACGCTTACTTCTTGGGAGGAGAGCAATGTCCAGTCTCGATAAAATAGTAAAGTGTAGAGACATCAGACTGGCAACAAAGATCCGCCTAGTCAAAGACATGGTATTCCCTGTAGTAACCTACGGATGTGAGAGCTGGACCTTAGGGAAGGCTGAGCGAAGGAAGATGCTTTTGAGCTGTGGTGTTGGAGGAAAGTGCTGAGAGTGCCTTGGAATGCGAGAAGATCCAACCAGTCCATCCTCCAGGAAATAAAGCCTGACTGCTCATTGGAGGGAAGGATACTAGAGACAAAGTTGAAGTACTTTGGCCACATCATGAGGAGACAGCAAAGCTAGAGAAGACAATTATGCTGGGGAAAGTGGAAGGTAAAAGGAAGAGGGGCACCAAGGGCAAGATGGATGGATGGCATCCTTGAAGTGACTGGACTGACCTTGAAGGAGCTGGGGGTGGTGATGGCTGACAGGGAGCTCTGGCGTGGACTGGTCCATGAGGTCACAAAGAGTCGGAGACGACTGAATGAATGAACAACAACAACATAAGAGAAAAGAAGGCTATGAATTTAATGAGTACTGAAGAATTATTGTATTTTGCAAAATCATGTTAAAACATCTAAGTTTGAAAAGAAAGACATTGAAAAATATGCATAATATCCAGAGATTGTGTTGTGGTGAAAAGAGAGGGTTGTTTTTTTGTTATCATAAGTATAAATGAAATAAGCAAAAGAATGACTCCATTCACTGTCCTTAACTACCACAATGTCTTGGGTCAGCTCTTCACCACCAGACTTAAAGTCACATCTCTGTTATTTGCATGGGAGCTCTATGAATAATTCAGGAACTCTACCTGGCAAGGTGTAATGCAAATTGACACTCAGAGCATGGCAAAGTGATAATGTAGAATGTATTTCCATTGACCTCCACATGGCTGGCATAATGCATAAAGAGGCCTTCTGGAGCAGTTGATGTCAGTCCAATAGGCACAAATGGACTTTTGATAGTAGAGATAACAGTTCAGAAATAATAATAATAGTTCAACTGAATGCAGATGTAGTATTAGCATTTCAAAGATGTCAAATGATTTCACAGACTACACATATCAGTTATCAGGAGGTTGCAGGCAGAGACAAGTTTTTGAAATAATTTAAAAACTCTTTCCTATCTGTTTTCAATGGTGGAAGGAAGCTTTCTTTTCTTTTCTTTCTTTTTTGGAATAACAAACCTTATGCAGTTGGCTTGTGAGGTAAATGAAGCATTGCAGCCCAGTCAGAGTAGGAGGAAAATAGAAGTCAAGGAAAATGAACACTTTTAAGTTCAGTTATAGTTGGTCAAGAAAGTTCCATGCTGCTCATTATATTTCAGTGGTTTCCAGATGAATTTTGCCAGTTAATAAGGAAAGGAAGAGAGAAAGTCTTTC